TCCCACTCCCCCATCATGAATCTCCAGTACGACACGTCAAACGTTCTCCTAGGAAGGGTGGTCGGTATGGTGGAGATGGGGCTGCTACCCTGCCCTGTCCCCCTCTCAGTGAGTCTTGACGCTGCATGTGGCGCGCGGGTCGGTTGACGTCCAGTGGCAGCGGCGACCCGCGCCTGAGCTTCCCTACTTGGTTAACCTCGCAGTGCTCAAGGAGTACAGGAGGAGGTAAGACAGTGAGCATGACGCTCAGCTACCGCTCCCCAGCTCACGTTGAGCTGGAAGGGGGATCGGACAGCAGCTTGTGAGGGCATGCGAGCATAAGGTAAGCATCGCCCACAAGACATCTCGCAGACACTTCTCGTCCTCCTCCTCCAACCTGCCCGCTGCTCTGCATCCTGACTTCTTGCGCGCAGGCATCAGAGGAGTGGGGAGTACCGAGAGATCTTCCTGTACGTGAAGGCTCAGAACAGGTTCAACCATAGAGGAGGAGGAGGTGTCAATGTTGCAATGCCAGGGTAGCACAAGCCTTGTACTCTGCGATGGGATACACATGCGAGTGGAGAGAGCCGTCCTGGTACCGGCTCAAGTCTGGTGAGTTTGACTTGTAGTTGCCCTGTAGGCTGTAGGAAGTGACCTGCTCTGGTACAACGCAGGCCTCCAGAAGTTACAGAGCAACCCCCGACTCTTCCTGAGGAAAGAGCTCTTGCCTGATATTGAGGACAGGAGGTAGAGCCTTAGAAGATCATGGAAGGGGGACGATCATGAGAGACAAGAGAAGACGATAGAGGGAAGAGAAGAGTCTTTATTGCTTGATAGAGTACATGCAATCTGCTGTCAGGCAGGCGAAGAAGACGGAAAACTTGAAACATGCCTCCCCTCCCGCTGTCACCGAGCTTTGAGGCAGCGGTTCAGATCTAAGAGCAGTGCAGTGATGGTAGTCAAGATAGTAGTTGGAGTCCTTTAAACCTTCTTTTTGCTATCTTTCTTTCCCATCCCCCTATCTTCCTGCTCCCGGTCGACCCGACTCAAATTCAGGTACTTGGCCGCCAGCTCCCCCGCCCCGAGCCTCTCCCAGTCCTGTACGAAGCTCTCGTCTGCGTGGGCTCGAGGGAGGATGCCGTAGTCGCAGATGAGGTTGGAGGGCGAGGACACAGGGGAGACCGAGGGAGAGGAGCCGTGGAGGAGGAGGAAGGCGTGGAGGAAGGAGAGCTCGTCAGGGGCGTCAGGGGGAGGGGGTGTGCGCAAGAAGCAGTCGGAGGAGGAGGACTGCGTAGAAAAGGACTCAGGGTCTGAGACAAGATGAAAGTGCATGGCAGGAGAGGGAGGAGTGGGAGGGAGTAGTGGCGTGCAGTAGGGAGAGAGCGTTCGGCGTGCGTCCCATGGAAATCACGTGTTTTCGTGGGGCAGGGGAACGGTCGCTGTCACGACTGTCGGAGATGTGATGAGTAAAACTGATTTGCCGGGTATATCCGATACTTGATCGCGTCTCTCATGATTGTCCTCGTACTGATTTTTAGCTTAACTTTGAGTAAAACTGAACTGTTTTGAGTCATGTCAACTCGTTGGCTCGCAAGCAGTCAAGACGGTCGGAGCTCCGAGGCTCAGTACTGTCACTGTCAGGGAGATAAGCGTAGAGTATACGTGCTCAAAAGGGTCTTCTCTCCCTGACTGCAGATACTTAACTTGACCGTTTGAGTCAATATGTCTGCGGCCGGCCAGCTTGTGAGTCCGGGGAGCTTCCGGAGCCTGGGAGTCCGGCCGACCCGGTGAAATTTACGTGCCAGCACAGTTTGGCCACCGCTAGCTCCCCCGCCCCGCCGGGCCCAGTCCTGTACTGTGACGAAGCTCTCCGAGCCTAGGCTCGCCGGAGTCCGATACGGTCTGCCAAACTGCGTGGGCTCGGAGGAGGAGGCCGTAGTCCGATCGAAGACGAGGTTGGAGGACGAGGACGCGACGGAGGAAGGAGAGCTCGTCAGGGGCATCAGGGGGGGCCTCGGAGGGCCCGGAGGCCCGCAAGAAGAAAGACGAGGAGGAGGAGTGCGTGGAGGAGTGCTCGGGGTCCGAGGCAAGATGAAAGTGCGTGGCAGGAGAGCCGCCCGAGGAGTGCGAGGGAGGAGCGAGCCAACAAGCTTCTGCTCCTCTTGCTACCGTAGGACTAGCGCCCAAGCCACCCATACTAAACAGGCTCGCTCGGACACCAGGGGTCATCCTCCACAGGGTATATGGATGGTGTATGAGTCTTTTGAGTACAACAGCAAGAAAGCGCGTCATGATGGGAGGGATAAATGCGAGATAGACAGGGAGGAAGACGATAGAGGGAAGAGAGCGAGGTGTTTATTGCTTGATAGAGTACATGGGAAGCGAGCTCCGAGGAGGCCTGCTGTCAGGGTGGGGATACAATAAAGCCCCACGCGCTTCCTGAGAGCTGGGAGCGGATGATAAGATCTGATGTCCTAGCGAGCAAGCGATGTATCTTGTTGATTCTCGACGATGGTGTGGACAAGTCCCTTTGTGCTATCTACCCTCCCCGAGCAGCGGTACTTGGCTGCTAGCTCCCCCGCCCCGAGCCTCTCTCCCAGTCCTGTACGAAGCTCTCGTCTGCGTGGGCTCGAAAGAGGATGCCGTAGTCGCAGACGAGGTTGGAGGGCGAGGACACAGGGGAGACCGAGGGAGAGGAGCCGTGGAGGAGGAGGAAGGCGTGGAGGAAGGAGAGCTCGTCAGGGGCGTCAGGGGGAGGAGACGTGCGCAAGAAGCAGTCGGAGGAGGAGGAGTGCGTAGAGGAGAGGGTCGAGGACTCCATGGAGGAAAGGTATAGGGGGCAGGGAGGAGGGCAGCGCATGGCAGGAAGGGGGGGGGAGGAGGAAGGGGGCGTGGAAGGGAGTAGAGGCATGAGGGGGAGGGGGTCTTATGAAATGCAGTAAAAAAGGGGACTCTGGAGATTCGACTATAAAGACGCAACGATTGGTAGGGAGTAGCGTGAGATTCGCCTATCAAGACGCAACGATTGGAAGGGAGTGCTGCCAAACGGCTCGGCCTCCTGGGAGTCCGAGTGTAGCATGACACGACATGACAAACTTGAAACTTGTGGTCCGGTTGAAGGGTCGTCTTTGCGTCTCCACGGACTCCCCGGGATCTCGGCATACCCGGGATGCCATGATAGTACGGTACAGTGACTAGACGGTATGCCCGGCCCGGCAGCCTCAGCGACGGCACGCACGGTCACCGGGTCACCGCATTCCGAAGTTCCGAGCCCGCATAACTGACGCGCCGGTTGCAATTTTAGTAGTACTACGGTATTAGTGACTCAATCCGCCTCAACAGAAAAATAGGAAAAGGAGAAGGCAGCAGAAACTTACCGTGTGGTTTTGAGTAAAGTCAGACGGGGTTTCCTCCAAGTTTCCCAGTTCAATGTGATAGGATACTATGATATTTTAACTTAAGTTTGATGAGTAAAATACTGGATGAGGCGAGCTTGCAGAGATTGAGAACACAAACCACACATTGAAGGCTCTATGGCAGGGCAGAGCAACGGGGAACGATGAGAAGCAGGGGACGAAGAGGAGCTGAGGGTGAGGACGAGAGGCTTGCTGAGGATGGAGAGGAAGGAGAGGAAGGAGAAGTTGGGACGGAAGACTTGGGACCAGAGGACGATGCAGGTTGTTTCCCCTCCGAGGGCCAAACTTGCTTTACCTCCTCGCGTGCTCCAAGAGAGATGGACAGAGCCTGTGAGTCAGGGAGAACGTTCGTCTCGCTGGTGGACGCAAATCTGTGGAAGCAAGTGGAGCAGCAGAGTGTAAGACGCAGCATTGTTCTCCTGCAATCCCTCCTCGAAGAAGGCTGCGAGCTGTTCGAGCGCGATGATTCCGGCCGAACATGCGCGCATTGGTGATGCCATGCTCGCTTGCCTTGCGTTCTCTGCGTGTTCACATCTGGTCAACGCAGGGCGGCATGCTGTGGCCGCGGTTGGGAGCTGCACTTCCTCCTGGCGTTCGAGCAATCCTGCAGGAGACGGTGTAAGGAGAGTCTGAGTGGGCAGGTAGCCTGTTGAGGCGCTTGCTCGGCCCTTGACGATGTTGACCAGGTCTCTCTCTTAAGTATGAGAGATGATGGAGGAAGGACGATCTTACTATCCTCTGTTGAGTTCGGTCACTCGCACATCACCAGATACCTGTTGACAACATGGTGTACAAGTTGAATGTCGAAAGTTCCGGCTGAGCGTTTTGCAGGGCGGAAGCCGATCCGAATGATAGGGACATCAATGGCATTTCTGCGCTAGAGATTGCAATAGGAACTGAAAGACAATTCTTTGCATGCCAGAACTGAACGCTCTCTGTCAAACAGTCAAAGGAGACAAGAATTGTGTGAAATATCTGCTTAAGGTACTTTCTTGCTCAGCCAGCCACCCGGCCACCCAGTCAGCCAGTCAGCTAGTCAGAATCAAGTCAGCAGAGTCAGTCAAGTCAACTTACAGTTCAGTCAGTGCAATCAAGTCAAGTCGCATTTCAGTCAGTGTAGTCATTTTCTTTCTCCTTGTTTTTTTGATTCACTGAAAAATTCACGCTGAACTATCTCATACAGGCGGGTGCAAACATACAGAGAGTTGAGGGAGAAATTTCGTTGTCTGAGTTAGCAGCACGTGAAGACCATTGTGACTTTCAACCACGAGTATTCTCATGATTGTTGGCAGGATGTGACGACGAACAACTAGTCAAACTCGTATCTCTCGCAGAAACAAGTCTGCCTGACCTCCGATCCCCTTCTCCTGGACTCTTGGCGTATCTTCGATGCCAGGTATGATCAGGTTTTGCATGTTGGTATGTGACGTTGTATCAGGCATCTTTCGCTATCGATCGAGTCATCACGCCGAAAGCCTACGCTCTTGTACTTGTCTTTGCGCCGTTGCGTCCTGGAGCAGCAGCGGAGAATCGTTGACTGTCATGAACAGGCTGATCTCTACCTTCCCCCTCCCTTGCGTGATCGTTACATTTGGAATTTTTCAATGACTGTGTGAGAAAACACATTGAGTGACATAAATGAGATTTGTTTGAAAACAGGTTTTTGTCTTTTTTTGCACAGTCATGGTGACGATTGCTCTTCTGCTTTGATGTGACTGATCGTGTTCAAGGTTGTCAGACTATACATGAGTTTGATCCTCGTTGGATTGTTTGCAATCATCTGGAAATGGATCTCAAGTTACTTTTCACAACGAGGTTTGAGAAATTTGCAAAGAAACGATGAGGTGAGATGAGTTGAGTTGAGTTGAGTTGAGCAGTCAAACAAGTCGAAGTTGCTGTCGGCTTCTGGCGAGGATGTGTAAGATTCTTGCTACTGGTCTAATATCTGTGTAACAAACACACGCAGGTTGTTTCATACATGATGCTTGCTCTGTTGTTTACCTTCCATGGATACTTTGCAAACTTGTGCAACACAGCAGGACAGGTAGAGATTTTGCCTCTCAGTCGAGCCGGACAGGCTGAGTAGTGTGCAGGTTGCATGCCGCATCTTCTTTCATGGCGCATGCTTCATCATGTTGCTTGCTTGCGCTGGTAAAGGCAGTTTGTTCCTCCCACCTCCCTTCTCCCACCTCCCTCCTCCCACCTCCCTCCTCCCACCTCCCTCCTCCCTCCTCCCTCCTCCCTCCTCCCTCCCCCCTCCTCCCTCCTCCTCGTCTCTTCTCTGGTTCTCC